GTTAATGCCATACGCTCTCTTTCTGTCATATTTTTCAAACCTTTTTCCTCAGACACAATCTGAGATCAGTTTAGCTCCCCTAAATTTCTGGTAACAGGAATCCCCAACCAGCCGCCATATCAACCCATTTACCAATAAGAAATGCGTATGGCATGAACTTGACACCACAGGATCTACTTAGTCTTATACTTTGATGCAGAATGCCCTTTGTCACTTCTCAGCCATGTACTTTAAGCAACCAAGCTGATTCCAGCTTGTATGTGACACACTACAAGATCAAGTCTGTTTGTTTAGTTCATGAACAGCAGTTCAGTTGAGGAAGTCCTAATAGACACAACCATTATCACTAAACCCATCAGACCAGATCTTTCCAACTAAAAACATGCCCAGCTCACCTACAGTATTGACCAATCCTTTTTTCTTATGTGGCCTTCAATTTCTATAGCACCCTTCCACCCCAGCTCAGGGAACTCTGTTCACTTGAGTCCCACAAGTGATTACTAAATGCAAGTTCCTCAGTTGGAGAGACTGGTCTCCATTCCTGCTTTGTGATCTGATGCTTATGAACTCTAAAGTCTTCCTGATGAAGATGATACAGGCACTGTCTGTTTCAGTATCTTTCATCCACAAAGTCACAGGACCAACTATAGGTTTACCTCCTGGGCAAACCTGGTCACTATGAGAAGCCAAGGCTTTGTAGCCTGTAGTCTAAGACAGAGCCTGGAACTCTCCAGTAGGACAGACTTTGCTTTGGTTTGAGAAAATTATTAATAAATGCCAGCTCATTTAGAGGGAGAAGAGGGAGGGTCAGAGGGAAGAAAGAATTTGACATGATTTGGGAATTCTTTCTTTGTTGTTGTTTTTTTTTTTTGAGGGGGGATTCTTTTAAAATAATTCACAAGAAGAAAAATAAGATTTGAAGTGATTATTGAGTATACATATATGAAGACTGATTTTATTTTTTTTGTGTATACTTGGAAGTCTTTCATAGTTAAGAAAAAAAACTGCCAGTGGCTCATGCCTGTAATCCTAGCTACTCAGGTGGTTGAGATCTAAGGATTGTGGTTCAAAGCCAGCCAGGCAGCAATGTCTGTGAGACTCTTATCTCCAATTAAGCACCAGAAAACTGAAAGTGGCTCAAGTGGCATTGCACTAACTTTGAGCTGAAGAGCTGAGGGACAATGCCCAGGCCCAGAGTTCAAGCCCCATGACTGACAAAAAAAAAAAAATCTTAGCCAGGCACACACTTGGAATCCTAGCTACTCAGGAGAGGCAGGAAAGCCTGTGAGATTCTTATCACCAATTAATCAGCAAAAAGCTGCAAGTGGAACTGTGGCTTAAATGGTGAGTGCTAGCCTTGAACATAAAAAGCACCTGGGCCCTGAGTTCAAGCTCAGGACTGGCATGAATGAACAAGACTGGCATGAACGAACAAACGAATGAACAAATGATTAAGATAGGAGGGAAGGAAGGAAAGGGGAATAAGGGAGGAAAGGAGGGAGGAAGGGAAGGCTGGAGGGAAGAAAGGAGGGAAGGAGGGAAGGAAGGGAGGAAGGAAGGAAGGAAGGAAGAAATTCAACTACATAGGAAAAAAGTGCAGGAGGGTGAGTTCCTCTACCATCTCTATTATTGCCACAAGCACCAAGATCCTACAAACACTTCCTCACCTTCCCTAAGGATCTGAACAACATCCCCTCCCCTCCCCCCTTTAGCCTGTTCAGGGGTTGAAGCAACATCAGAGGCAGTGTATGTATGTATAGCTTGGAAACCAGAGCCCTGGAAGGAGGAAGGCCTCTAATACTGAGTGCTAACTGGGGAAGAAGCGTAGAGATAGTAATAACCTGCTCTTCTTTGTGCCTTCAAGAAGCATCTCAACCACCCCTGACAGATACCGGGGATGTTCCTGCCAACTCTAACTCTTTTCTCCCATTTAGAAGAGCAGGACATTATAAAAGCCAAGAACTAATCATGAACTCTTGTGACCTATAAAGTTAATATGTCACTGGGACACATCAGTGCTTGATTAGTATCACATTATTTGTGATATAGCTCTTAAAGATTAAGTTACTGTTGTCTTTCAGACTTAGGTCAAGCACCTAGGGCCTGTCTCCATCATGTACTCTGCTGACACCTAACTCCTGAGCAACAGGGAAACAAATTGCCCTTAAGATCACAACATATTAACCTGAAAAAAATAAGTCAGGTTCTTTCTTTTGGATCAACCAGCACCAGCTCCAGCCCCACCTCTCTGTAGCTTACTGGCTAAGTGACAGTGGTAGGGCAAGCTATCTAATCTAAGCCTGACCGTCTCTGCAAATGGGTCTAAGACTATATAACTGGTATTACTAACTATATAACTGACATTACTAACTAAGCATGCTGTAATAGTAAGAAATGCAAAGGGCCCAGCACACAATAAGTACTTAATAACTAATTACTTATTACTACTACCTTCCACTCCTATCCACAGCAAGCCCCTGGAAGACCTTTATTTTGTTTCGTTTCTTTACCTCAGCATAGTGCCTGACACAGACAGTTCTCAAGACAGCATAGAGTGGTAATGGATAAAACCTTCCTGCCTTCCATCAACATGTAATAAATAGCCGCAAAGTGCCAGACATTGTTCTATGGCCTATGGAAAGAGCAATGAACAGAACACCCATAATGCTGTTTCCTGATATTCACATTCTAGTGGAGAGAATGGACAAGTGAACACATAGTTGGAAAGAGAATTATAGAGCATAATTGTGGGGTTAGAGAGTCAGTGTAGGGTAGTTTGCTTTTTTTTTTATGTCATGGGTCTCTCTTAAGATGACATTATTTGTTGGGCATTGATAGCTCACACCTGTAATCCTAGCTCTTCAGGAGGCTGAGATCTGAGGATCAAGGTTCAAAACTAGTGGGAGTGAGAAAAATCTGAGACTATCTCTAATTAACTAGCAAAAAGCCAGAAGTAGAGCTGTGGCACAAATAATAGAGTGCTCGCCTTGCACAAAAAAGCTAAGAGACAGTGTCCAGGCCTGAGTTCAAGACTCAGTACTAGCATCAACAAAAAAGAAAATAACATGAACAAAGACTTAATGGAAGTGATAGAATGAACCAAACAAATATCTGTGAGGCATGTTTGAAGACATTTCAGGCCAAGGAAGGCCCTGAAGAAAGCAGACCAATGGGTGGTATGTTTAGACTGGTGTAGCTAGAATGGTCTGAATGAAAAGGCTTTTATAAAATTCTTTTTCTATTTGGTTAAAAATGAGCACACAACACCATTCAGAAATTTAAAAAAAGATGTATTAAAAGTATTCACAGAAGTACAATTGCAAAAGAAAAGATCAAAAGATAATAGGAACATGATGGTTTTCCCCAATTGGATACATTTTAACTGAGAAATTACAGATAGGAATTTTAATCTCTGAACAATCCCTTTTAGGTGTCCCCTTACAAAAGCCACATACAATTTTAAGAAGTCTTGTTCTTCCAGCACAAGACACAGGAAGAGCAGGTCTGCCATCTGGATACAACCTCAATGGTTAGCTGTACCAAGCCCAGAAAGGCTGAGGCCTGAGGGTGAATGGTGAAAAACACTAAAGGAAGTGGTGTGCAGAAGTCAGAAGACCCTGGCTCAGAGCCCTAACTCAGACCCTATGTATAAATGTGAAAAGTGGCCTTCAGACACCCCTCCCACAGCCCCATCAGCAGCTGACTGCCTTTGCCTGGAGGAATGGCTCAAAGAAGGTGGGGGAGGAAATTTTCTGCTCTTATACCAGACTGCTGACAGAGGGCGAGGCATTTGGTTTGGCTAGGAGGTCCAAATCAGGTACAAAAAGGAGGCTGTATGGAATGGTACCCCACCACCAGCTTCACACCAGGAGAAATCAGGGCTCTTACCATCAGTAAGTATTAAGAATGTACAGTTTACTCACAGGACTGCTGAGAAAGGAGAAAGGGGGAAGGCCCATTTTCTCTGTAAAATAATGTCAGGAAGCATTGCACATGACAATGTACACACTTGGGCTATGACTGTCTCTGGGTTTCTGTTCTTATCTTAAACACACCTTAAGGCTTTGCTATGTCATTCATACAGTGGCAAAGGCTCCCTGAGGATTTCATTATCTTGGCATGTGTTTGAATAGTAACAATCCTAATCACTTAAAACATATATAAGAGGTCTTCTAATAGCTCCTAATGTTTTCTTTTCTTTTTTTTTGGGGTGGGGGAGGGAGGTGTTATTGTTGGTCATGGGGCTTGAACTCTGGGCCTGGGCACTGTCCCTCAGCTCTTCAGCTCAAGGCCAGTACGCTACCACTTGAGCCACAGTGCCACTTCCAGTTTTCTTGTGATTAATTGGAGATAAGAGTCTCATGGTCTTTCCTGCCCAGGCTGGCTTTGAACCGTGATCCTCAGATCTCAGCCTCCTGAGTAGCTAGGATTACAGCCATGAGCAACCAGTGCCCAGAGCTCCTAATGTTTTTGAAATGGGAGCAGAAAGGTTCTAGAAAGGTTTTCTGCCTTACTCCTGAGTGGGACCTGTGGACATGGAGGAGAAATTGGAGACTGTAGATCAGGCACACAGGACACAGAACAGATGTTCCTCAGCTTGAGAGATGTCATGTTAGTGATGCCAAACTCTCTTCTCTTCTTGCTTACAGACACATAAACTGTATATACTGGCCATATTGGAGCACTATGGGACTAACAACAAATAGTTCCTCCAAAAATCAAAGACCTCCTTCACAGGACAGTTCTGAAGCTCCAGTGGCCTCCATTGCCTCATATATTTAAACCTAAATCATGCTTTATTTCTTTATAGACTCAGCCTCCAAACATTGAAAAAAAAACATAACAGAACACAGGAAGAAAAAGACAGTTTATGGTGACCTTAAAGTAAATAGGAGGAAGCTTGTTTCCCTTCATTCTCACTTACCCAATCCCAATAAACCATGCAGACCTTCTAGACAGCGTTCTTCCCGTAACTGTGGGCTTCCAGTTTTTAAGAGGAAAAACAAATGGGAGGATGACAATATAAATAAACTGCTTAATGACCCTGACCATGCTCCTAATTACCAATTAAATATAAAACCTCTTTCATCTGAAGTAGGGGAGGGAGTAGTGGAGGAGAGAAAATGAATTTAGGAGAGAACAAATTACCTTTTCTCTTGTTTCGTTGTTAATCAATTCCAAGTAACAGGAGAAAAATAAAACAAACCCACAACAGGGACATAAAAGAGATTGCCAAGTAGCAGAACTAGCCCTACTTCAGTTTTAAAATTCTTGACTCCTTTTAGCCCAAAGGTCTTTCTTTTTGATATTGTGAAGCTACAAGAAAAGCCACATGCCTAACTGCCTGAGGCTTTTTCTTGCTAAAGGCATGAAGGAGGCTTTACAAGACCATTTCTCTAGTGAATGCAATCCAGCAACCCCATCTCTGCACACTTGGAAGGAGGAACTCTTTTCAGCTTCTTCTGGGTGAAGACTCTGACTTTAAGCAGGAACAATGTCAGCAAAAAAGGTAACTGACACCTTTGCCTCCAGAGGTCACAATACCCCTCAAGCAAAGTCTGGATTTTCTACTTTGTCTCTATGGTTGGCTTAAAGTACCCAAAAGGACATGATTTCTAACCTTTATCCTTTGTTGCTCCTGCCATTATGAATCAACATGTTGAATATATTCTTAAAGGGTATGATGTCAAAGTAAACCTACGCAATATTAAAAGATAAAAACTGTTCCTTGTTGTAGAAAAACATTAATCAAAGCTTCCCAAACTGGCTTCAAGTGGCATAGTTAAGGGGTGCTGTCTAAAGATACCACCAACTATTTATTTCTGATACAGTGTCCAAAGGCCACCCTGGATCTGCTTCCATCAGAGTATCGCATCTTCCAACTACAATAAATGCTAAGACTGTTTGAGCCCTTAGACAAAAAGGCCATGTCTAGGAAATACTACAAGGTCTGCTGTCTCCATTTAAGGCAAACCACATCCACATGATGATAATAGGAATGTTTCTGAAATTTCAGAATTGTAAATTGTCCCAAAGAATGTACAAAAACAGTAAGACAAATTATATATGAACAGAATCTTTTCATCATGCAACACTGGCTTCTCACATCAGGAAGATTAAACAGAATATTTATACATAGTCTTCATACACATTTGTTTTCTCCCTCTCTGAGTATACACATGCTTGTCCGTGCCTGGGTCCTCAAGACCACATATGGCTATGGGTTACACTTTCTGGAAAAAGAGTCCAGTTTGGATTTGTTTCTTGCTTAGGATATGTTCTTGGTCTTTTCTCAATTTTTCCGGATGTCCGCATACACCACAGACTCTGACTTGTTAATCTTGTCACTGTGATGTCCACCAGAGTGGTCTAACTGTGCGTATATAACTGGCCCCTGCAGAAGAGAAATAAAATGAGAAGTTTTGAGAAACTGACAATCCCTAAGATACAGACATCAAAGTGATTATACTCTGGTTCAAAATCAAAGACTTCTCCCAAATATCTTCTAAAGACTTCTTATAAATGATATATAGTCAGGATTGACTTGAAAGTAAGATTAGGCATTGATAATTGTTAGTGCTAGTATGTATCAGATCTATTTTGTACAGCATACTTTTCTAAACACCTTACAATCTTCCTTAGAAATTTGTGTAACAATATCCCTTATCCCTTATGTGCTACAGAACTCTTCAATCTCTGAAATTGGGATCAGAGCCGTAGCAACTAAGGTAGGCAGCATTCTACTGACCCTAGACCCACTGAAATCATAAGCTTCCCAGTAAGTCATGTCAAAAAACAAATTGGGTGCTACCCAACATGTGACGCTATCATTGTAAACTGGTCACTTTGTGTTAAAGAGGTACTTTAAAATACTTCAAATATTTAATACTACTTATTAAAATATTCAATTCTACTTTTAATAATTCTTTTAGTCTGACCTTGTGATCAATTGAACTATTACTTGATTTTTTTTTTCTCTTTTGGACATAAGGGATCAGATATGGGCCCTTGTGTGTGCTGAGCACATTCTGTACAAATAAACCACATCTCAGGTCTGCTTGTGTTCTTTCTGCTTTAAATTGTGTGTGTTTTTTTAATGGTAACAATCTATAGGAACATATCTATAATACTATATTATACTAATCTACAATCTATATGGTACTACTCTACAGAAAAACTCCAAATGGAAAGAAGTACAAATACTCCTTTTACTCCCAGTAACAAAGAGAAGGTTAAAACTGCAGATCACTACCAGCCAGTAGTAAAGCAGCGGAAATTTGGGCTCTAAAGGCAGAGGAGTGATAACCAACTCTTAGGGGGGAAATATGAGCAGAAATAGAAGATTCAAACATCAGAAGGCAGCTTCACATTTCAGTCCCTACCTAGAGATTCTAAAATTATAAACAACAACAAAACAGCCTTGATTTTAAAATGAAAATTTAACATTACACAGCCAACTTTTCGGCCAACCCAGGGACCTCTCCTTGACAGATTCAATAACATAGTTATACTTTCAACTTTAAATTGGTAAATTCAGTAGCCAAAAGCATGTGCTTTAAAATGAACTACCTCAACTCAGCAGCTCTAACAAGCTACCAGCAACAACTTGCATCCTTTAGTGTGTAAACTGTTATCTCATGGAGGTCAGCACTGACTTCCACAGAAGGGACAGGCCCAGCGTTGTACAATGGTATATCTGAAGTGAAGTTATAAAACAAGACAACAAAACCCTTTTGAACTTGGGAGTCCACAGCCGGAATTCAAAAGACATTCTTCACCCAAACTAGTAGAGAACAGCACTGACCACATGGCCCTCTGAATAATTTCTATGTCTCTAAAATGTTTAGTGTTCTGAGACTTAAATGATTCTTATAAATAACCTAAGACAATGTCTAATAGCCAATATTCTCTCAACACAATCTAATTATTATTACTATAAGCATCTTATTATAAATATCTTATAAGCATCTTATTATAAACATACTTTAAAACACAAAGGTAACTAATCAAGGAAGAAGTCAAACTTGTCATGTGCTCATCTTCAGTGTAGCTGATCTTCCTTAATGCCCTTTACATTGTCAATACTAAATCATACAGAGAGGCTCTATCTTCACCTCAACAAGCTTCAAGAAAAACAAAAAGGAAGTGCTCATCCAAAAAGAAAAAAGGTTAATAAAACAGGATTTCAGTACTTGCTTACATACTTTTTTTTTTTTTTTCCGTTCGTGGGGCCTGAACTCTGGGCCTGGGCGCTGTCCCTCAGCTCTTCAGCTCAAGGCTAGTGCTCTACCACTTGAGCCCCAGCGCCACTTCAGGTTTTTTTCTGCTTATGTGGTGCTGAGGAATCGAACCCAGGGCCTCATGCATGCAAAGCAAGTACCCTACCACTTCTCAGCCCTGCTTATATAACTTTTAAGATAATAAAACTCTGCACCTCTATTTCTACAGACTCAGGAGTTTTAGGGTGTGTTCATGGGGAAAGGAGTTTACAAGGTATGATGGAATGTAAATATGGTCTTAACTCCTTCCTTTACCAAAACTACATCCTTTGTAATGTAATGTCACATATCCATCAAGAGAAGAAACACATTTCTCCACTCCTTGAATCTGGGGCACTCTGTGGTCTTCCCATAGCAATAGAATGAGACAGAAGTAATTTGGTGTAGTTGTCACACCCAGACCCCCAACAGGCTTTGCTGCTTCCAGTCTCTTATGGATCTTGGGATTCCTGAATCTGCCAGCACAATATAAACAAGTTAGCCTGCTGGCCTATGAGAGAGACATAGGGGTCCAGGCTGCTTTTCTCTGCTAGGCCAACTGCCTAGCAGAGAACTATCCAGCCAGAAGCCAATCTCCAGCCAACTGTCAGCCAGCTAACATCAGCTGAACCAAATTGACCAGAAGACTTACCCCATAAAGCCAGATTTGGTAGCTGAACAAAAAGAACTACATTTACCATTATTTATGGCCATTAATAGCTGATACTGTATGTTGAATAGAAAAAAGGCCAGAGGGGGGTTAAAAATACAGAATTGTATATGCATCAGTCAGCAACTGCCAAAATACCAATAAGTTCTTTCAAATGAGATAGTACTGTCTTTTAACAAAGTAATTAGAAAACCAAAGAAAGAATAGAACTTTCTGTTAGGGATTTGGTTTTTGTTATGCCTACTTCTTCCCTCTTAGAATGTACTATGGTCTCACTTCAGTGACTTAATTACTTAGTCTAGAACTTAGCAGCCTGTGAGGGCCACATGAAGGGATAGTTAAAGAATCAAGCGGGGCTGGGAAGGTGGCTCAGAGGTGGAGCGCTTGCCCTGCATGCATGAAGCCCTGGGTTCGATTCCTCAGCATCACATAAGCAAAAAGAAAAAACCCGGAAGTGGTGCTGTGGCTCAAGTGGTAGAGCACTAGCCTTGAGCTGAAGAGCTGAGGGACAGCACCCAGGCCCAGAGTTCAGGCCCCACAACTGGACCTTCCCCCCCTCCCCCCGAAAAAAAAAAAATCAAGCAATTTTTTTTTAGGTACTGGGGATTGAACTAAGAGCTTCACATTAGCTAAGAAAATGCTCTACCACTTAAGATACACCCCCAAAACAATGGAGGGGGTAACAATGTTCAAGAGGAAGTGTACTCATAACCTCACTCATGTAACTGTAACCCTCTGTATAGTAGCTTTACAATAAAAAAAAAAAAAAAAAAAAGATACACCCCCAGTTCACTTTGCTTTTCGTTTGGTGGTTTTGTTGTTGTTTTTCCTTAATATATATTTTAGCAACAGTACTGCAGTATGAACTCAGGGCCTATGTACTGTCTGAGCTTTTTGCTCAAAAGTAGTTTACCACCACTTGAGTCACAGTTCCACTTCTGGCATTTTTGTGATTAATTGTGGAGATAAAGAGTCTCTTGGACTTTCCTGCCTGGGCTGTCTTCGAATCGTGAGTAGCTAGGATTACAGCTGGATTTTCAGATAAGATCTTATGCTTACTTTGCCCAGGCAGACTCAAACTAAAATGCCCCTATCTCCACCACGACATCCATCTTTAATACAGAGGAACTGTAAAATGTGGGCTGAGATCAGTGATCTGTTAATGAATCTAACCCCCATAGAACAGTTTTCTAAAGGCTGGTTCTGGTACTATCTAGAAGATGAAGGTACTTTGGTATCTTGGTGGAACATATTCCAGGATGGGAATTCTGAGATCTAGTGAGATTGCTCAGGACTTCAGGAAGATCCAATGAAACAAAATCAACTCAGAAACTAGCCTGTATCGCAAAGATACTCTCTTTGAGTATATAAAAATTCAGAAAGGAAACAGTAAGAGCCATAGAAACCTAGTTATTTTTACTGAGTATCTTGGTATCCACCTTCCCCATCTTTTTTTTCAATAAAGAATTATAATTAAAGTGAAAATTTTTATTTGGATATTCTCCCTCCACCATTTACTTCAAAAGTTGACATTTTGGGGCTGGGAAGTTGGCTCAGTAGTAAAGTACTTGCCTTACATGCATGAGGCCCTGGGTTCGATTCCTCAGCACCACATAAACAGAAAAAAGCTAGAAGTGGCGCTGTGGCTCAAGTGGTAGGGTGCTATCCTGAAGAGCTGAGGGACAGCGCTCAGGCCTAGAGTTCAGCCCCCATGACCAACAATAACAACAACAACAAAAAAAAAGGCAAAAGTTGACATTACTGAAAAGCTTATAGAAAGCATTGTCAGGCCTGGGCACCAATAGCTCATGCCAATAATCCTAGCTACTCAGGAGGATGAGATCTGAGGAACTCGGTTCAAAGCCAGGAAACACCATGAGACACTTATCTTCAATAACTACTCAAAAGAGCTGGAAGTGGTGCTGTGGCTCAAGTGGTGGGGTGCTCACCTTGAGCGAAAAAGAAGCTCAGGAACAGCACCCTGGCCCAGAGTTCAAGCCCCAGGATCAGCAAAATAAATAAAAGCATTGTCTGATGTAGGTTTATTCTTTTAGTTGTAACTACAGATAAAATTACCACTGAATTCCATTTGTATCAAATTTATTCTCATATAAAAGCATACTGGTAAGGACAGGGAAAGAAGGTGTAGGAAGAAAACTGGAGAAGAGTAAAGAGACCTGTTCTAAAGGCTAGAAGCTTGCTCAAGTGTTAGGGTTCCTGTCTAGCAGTCTCCCCTACCTTTTTTTGTGCCAAGGTGGACTAAAGGCCTGTGCACTGTCCCTGAGATTTTTTGCTCAAGGCTGGAACCACTTGAACCACAGTTCCACTTGTAGCTTTTTTGGTGCTTAATTGGACATAAGAGTCTCACAGACTTACTTGCTCAAGTTGGCCTCCTGAGTAGCTAGAATTACAGGTGTTAGCCACCAGTACCCAGCTAGCAGTCCTGATAAAACTCCTATAGTTCATGTTCTGTAGTAAAAAAATTGCCTTGGGCAATTTAATTCTAGTCCTTAAGGCATTAAAGAGACTACTCCTAACACATAGCACTCTGAGAACACATGCCTTTAACATAAGCACAGATACTGACAAAACACTTTTTCCCCAGTATTTATCAGCATTTATTCATAATAAAGTCAAAAACATTATTACGACTCTCTTTGAGATTAATACCAATTACCAAAACAGAGATGAAAAGAATTGGACAAGGATAGAATAAGCATATGTCCTAGAACTGGACAGGATTAATACCATTTCTGCACTAACAAGTGAGAGTGAGCAAGGGACGCAATCTATTTAAGCCTTAGCTGCTTCTCATGTAAACCAGAAACATGCATCTTGCATGACTGTCATGGGGCTAATAAGATGCACACAATGCACTTCTCTTAAAACATTACTATGTCCAACCTAACTCCAATCACTGGTCTCCAAAAATACTTGCCTTTTGCATGAAAGTATTTCTAGAAAAAGATATAGACAACCAATTACTCATCACATATTTACACAAAAAAGATTTAAAATAATTCCTACTCAAAACACCTCCTTTTTAAATTTTGTTTTCAAGAGGAGAGCGTAGCACTTAAAGGACAGACTAAAGCTTTGCCAAGCTGTAACTCTCATGCCTTCATTACAAGCAATGCCCATTTGCAATCCCAATTAAGTAAAACTTAAGAGGAGGGGAGGAAGGTGAAAAGGGAGCGAGAGGGCGAATACGTTATGAGCTTGATGCTGCAATAGAAATCAGGTAGTCTAGAAACCTAGGTTTTGTCACTACCTCATGTAAATTTAGTAATGTAGTAAGAATGCCTCCGTCTCCCTCCCAGATATAATAGTTTGTTCACCCAATAAGAGAGATAGGGACTGTAGATCTTATTCAGACAACTTCATAAACATTGTTATTTTCTTCCTCATAATCCTCTTCCTTCCAGCTATCACATCCTCAGGGAAAAGTAGAACAGACCAAATTATGCCGAATTCCTTAGATTTCTTTCTATCCCAGAAAAACCACAGTGATACTAGATTCAAAGCTATTGCCAAGCCACAATTATAAAGGAGCACAGCCAAAACAGTATTAAACACAATGTTTGATCCTGAGCTGAATTCTGAATATAACTTCTTTTCTACAAAATAATTTTTCTATTTTATTAGCAATACTAAGAAGGTTAACCTCTTCTCCTCTCCCCTCGCCCTACTTTCCTTTCCCCTCTCTCTCTTTCCCTCACTTTCCTACTTCCCTCCCTTCCTCTCTCTTCCTCTCCCATTCTCTCTCCTCTCTTCCCTTTCCTTTTTTGGGGGAGGGTGTGTGTATTACTGGGAATTTCCCCAGAGTCTTACACATGCTAGGCAATTTCTTTACCAGCTGATTTAGTCCTTCTCCCCTTTATGTGGGTACCAGGGTTTAAACTCAGGGCTTCAAACTTGCTTGGCAGGCACTCTTCCACTTTAGCCATGGCTCCAGCCTGGCTTGTAGCTGGTTATTCTGAAAATGAAGCTTTGAAATTTTCTGCCTGGATTGAGCCTGCAGGACTCAATCTCCTGAATAGCTATGACTATAAGCATGAACTACTGAGATATGGCTTTACTTTTTGTTGTTGAGACAGGTCTTGTGACCACCCTTTATCCGGACAGTTCTCAATCTTGTGGTCCTTCTGCCTCCTTATCTGGAATAGATGGGATTATAGGCAAGCACTGCCTTGCTCTCTTCCTGATAATTTCTTACAGAACACTTTTGTTCAGAATACAGTTCACCAGATTTTATTTCCTTGGGTACTTAAAGAAGCATCTATTACAGCTGACAGAGCTATTCTAACTTTATTTGGGCTAAAGAAACCACATTCTTGGTAAGCAATATGTCAGTGGTGGTTTGATAGAAAACAATATTCAGGTCAGATCCCTGTCTGCACATTTTCTTGTGGTCTTTCTAGATAAGCCCTTCTGCCTCTTTCCCTTCTCTGACTTGTGCTTCTCTGACACAGCTCAGTATTCTTTCCCATACCCAGGAAGTGACACCAAATGTTAAAGCACACTGAGCAAGTACAACTGCCACCAGCCATTACCTGGTGAGATCCTGAAGGCAGACTCTTTACTAGATGCTCTGTGTCCGAGGGGGACTTCCGTGGAGTCTGCTTAACTGATGACAAACTCTCTGATGTGCTGCAGCTGATGGATTGGCAATTTGAAGAACAAATGTAAAAAAAATACATAAAGTAAATGGAACAAAAATATAGAAATGCATGTGATGGCAAGACAAAGCAGCAGATGTAGAAAAACAAAAGACAACAAAACAATGAGTACCAAAAAAACCCAAAACACTGCTCTCTTAAAAGTACTTTCTAGATCAGAAACTCATTCACCCTTCTGAGTAGGTGAACCTGCTGCTATTGGAGGCACAAAAATTAATGTGGTACAATATCTTCACTCCAGTTTCAAATACTTATTTTGTAATTCTGGTGATAAATTCTTATTTATGTTTTTGCTGCTTTGTCTTTTTTCCTTGCCATCAACCCAGGTCAAAGTTTTAAAAGGAGCAAACTAAACCTTCTTAAAGGAAATTCATTTTTACTCCCATTAAAAGCAAGCCTCTTTTGAATGTATTTTTTAAGTTACAGATAGATATACATCCAGACTTGTATTTATGGCTGTGTGTGTGTGTGTGTATACTGAAGTTTGAACCGAGGGCCCTGTGTTCTTGCTTGTTTTTTTTTCACTCAAGGCTGGAGCTCTATTGCTTGAGTCACACCTCCACTTCCAGCATTTTGCTGTCTAATTGGAGGGAAGAGTCTCTCAGACTCCTGAGTCAATAGGATTACAGACATGAGTTACCCACGTCCAGCTTCATGGGTCTTGTTTCCTCCATTCTCTAGCTCCCCACATTTTGTTTCCCTACTAATACCACAACCAACCAAAAAATAGAACCCCCCCCCAAACAGCTTCAGAAACCATGAGTGATGACAAATTATAGAATGAAAAATCATACAGGCTGATCTCTCTCAGAAGCATGAAGGGTTTTTCTTTAACATGTGCCATCTCATAAATAAATGAAGAAAGTGAACACCAGGGAAGAATGAGAAGGAACTCATTTGGAGATTTCCTAAAGAGAGATGTCATCAGCAGAGTAAATCATTTATATATATATATACACACACACACATATATATAAATGTATATATATATATATATATATATATAAATGATATATATATACACAGACACACACACATACACTTATGAGTTTGGGAAGGATGGATCAGTTTAAAGTGCTATGCCGAGAGCACACTATGCATTGCGAAAATTGGTTTTTTGTGGATGGAGCCAGACATGCGCTGAACCAAACTGTTTGATTATTCTAACACAAAGAGGGTCTTAAACCACTGACAGTAAGAAAAACACAGTCATTTTACATAAAGAACACATATATTCAGATGAGCCCAATTTCATCTGGATATTATTGCTCATTAGGTTTCCAGTATAATCACATGCCATATTTGTGGACAAACTATACTAGATGTTGGGTTGACTCAGAGCTAGGTGGTTAGTTATCAACAAAAGAAATGAGTTGAATACATAAACATGAACATTAACAGCAACCAGCAATGTGACTAGTTACCATGTGTCTACTGGAGAGGAAGAAGAGACCCAGCCCTGTTTATAGTCCCAATGTGTCTTCTATGTCAGCTTTTCTTAAGAAGTGGAAGATAAGCAGGACCTGATCCTAGCACACCAAGGCAGAAAAGCAAAAGAGAAGGAAAAAAACCAAAGTAAGAAGAATAGCAGCATTCACGATGCCATGCAGGATTCTAAGGAATACTTGCCTGACCCTTTACTAACCCCGCAGGACGAACGATAGACTGGTAAGTCACCACCTTGGGATTAGTCTCATGTAGAAAAACCAACAACCCAGCTCTACTTCATCATAAAACACCATGCAAGGAACAACAGAGTCAGCAGAATAGAAGCATTCCAAGCTGAATTTGAACATTCACAGACTTGTTTAAACACAGCACTCGTAAAAGCTATATCAGCAGAGCCCATAGGCACAGGTTCCCACCATCCACTAGCAAGCAAGCTCAGAGCATGCAATCCTTTTGAATTACAGTGCCTCTGGGATGGAGAAAGTCAGATGGTGCACGTGTAACACAGCTCGTGCTACGTCAACTTGAATCCAGAGTTCATCAGTTTTACCACATGAATTCTACATAGCTTATTACAGTTTAACTTTCCAGCTGGAGTGAGGAAAAGAGAAGGTCCTTCAATTAGATATACCCTACACTCACAGATTTTCTTTTGAGAAGAAAAGTCAACTTTTCTTTATTGCTGGTATTTTTTGTTGTCAACACAAGGCAAGACAATCAGAGCAATAAAGCTGCCAAAGCTGAGGTAGGAAGTTCCAAAAGGAAAACTCCTCCATCTTGACCCTGGGCTAGGAGAGTAGTTTATTTCTATAAGTTCCTGATTAACGTTTAATAGTTACCCAACTAAGACTCTTACTAGATTATTGCCAAGAAATTACAACTGAACTGTTAAGTGGGGTAAGTGATGTCTGTGGCTTAAGAACACTAATTGCAGAGTGGATGATTCTGAAACTCAGAACACAGACTGCTGAGCAGTTCATTTCAACACACCTCTGAAGGAAACTAGAGAACAGGGATTAGTATCACAGTCTACGTGAAACAGAGGCACTGGCTTCTGCCTGCCCATGTTAGAAAATACCTCCTAAGAAGCATGCTCATTTCCAACAGGCGAGCACACAGTAGTTAATTCCTTACAATGACATTTCCATTTTAAAAATATACAATATAAGCCTCAGTTTCTTCTTTCCACCCCTCCCCTGAAAGATGGTGTTTCTTACCCAGTATATTCCGGTTTCCAGTTTTTCCTTTTATAGAGGACCGCCAGAATCATGCTGATGAGCAGAGTGAGCCCTAGGACCACAGCAGTAACTATACCCACCACCACCCAAACTGGCAAACTCTCTAGAGGGAAAGAACAAGACAGGGATAAGATACATTGCTACAGAGAAAAGGATGGGTAATTCATTAATTTAATAAGCAAAAGTTTACCCTTCGCAGTTATTATTTTATTTAACCTCTTCTATTATCCATATTATAAGCAGTAGTACCTAAGTGATGACATACAGCGACATACTGGTGATGTACTAGCTGAAAAAGAATGAACTAGAGGATAAAACATTTCTATACCCACAATCCCTCTCCATGTTCTAAAGTCAAAATTGGAGATCTGAATTTCTATCAGTCTACTACTCTCCAACAGAGCAGACTTTGTCCCAGGATGGAGACACTAAAACTTAGCATTTTCTGCTTATTATTGAAAAAGGGAAGAAATAATTGTAGGCTGGGAATGTGGCTTAGTGGTAGAGTGCTTGCCTTACATGCATGAAGCCCTGGGTTCGATTCCTCAGTACCACATAAACAGAAAAAGCTGGAAGTGGCACTGTGGCTCAAATGGTAGAGTGCTAGCCTTGAGCAAAAGAAGCTCAGGGACAGTGCCCAGGCCCTGAGTTCAAGCCCCAGCACTGGCAAAAAAAAAAAAAAAAAGAAAGAAAGAAAAGAAAGAATTGTACTGAATTGGAGATGTCAAAACTTTGGGTTGGAGAATATCAACATGCTATCAATTTCCTTCTCTCCCATGGCCCACTTCTTCTAACCATTATGATTAATACTAAAGAAAAAAATTCCTACACCTGAACACAGATCCATAAGTTCCAGTCAGGAAGTACATACAAGAAGAAATCAGCCACTCTGGAGGCGGAGTTAGTTCTCCAACCCCTAGGTATGTCTGGTTCAGAGACAGAGAGAACAAGTCTATGGCAAAAAAAAATCCTCACTTCAAACATATCTTGAAATATTAACTCTTGTTCTCCGACTAAATGAGATAAAGAGGACTGTCATTTCTGCAAAAGTCCTAAAGAGAGTACCTTTTTCCACGACATAGAGTCTAATATGGCCAGGCTGGACAACAATGTCAGGAGGGTTTTTGACATCACAGATGTAGGTGCCATTGTGTATAAACTGCATATTTTCTATGTTGATTGATGCATCCTTCTTGTCGAGGTCTCCAGCCCAGCTGATTCTGTCCTTAAATGGTGGATAATTCCCAAAGTATACTTGCCCTTGGGAGTAGTGGAAAAACTGCAATTAGAAAATGAGAGCACATGAGCTACTTTCAAAGACCAAATTCCTAAAGACTATAAGAGGAATGCTGGTAAAGCTTTAGAAAAGACTTCAAATGAAAGAAATGCAAATCATATAACAAGTCTCAAGCTATGGAAGATAGGCCAGGCAGAGTTTTGAAGATGATAGAGTACAACTCTGCCAAGTTTCAGTTGAAAAAAATCAGACATACATATCATCTTTAATCCTTTCAACATCCCCTAAAGGTAATGATTACTATTCATTTTTTAAATAAGAAAATGGAACTCAAAAGAAGTCATATTCCCAAGGTCACAATTAAGTATTAGGCCCAGAGTCAAAATCAGGCCCATCTTACTCTCAAAAAGCCAACATTCAGCCAGGCGCTGGTAGCTCATGCCTGTAATCCTAGCCACTCAGGAGGCTGAGATCTGAGGATCACGGTTCAAAGCCAGCTCAGGCAGGAAAGTCCGTGACTCTTACCTCCAATAAACCACTAGAAAACCGGAAGTGGTGCTGTGGCTCAAGTGGTAGAGTGCTTGCCTTGAGCTGAAGAGCACAGGGACAGCGCCCAGGCCCAGAGTTCAAGCCCCACAACCGACAAAAAAAAAAGCCAACATTCTTCCTACAAGACTACCGTTGGGCCCAGTGAATTCAGAAACCTACCACTAAGATATACAAAGGCACACAAAAAAGAAGCCTAAATGGTATATGTCTATCTGCAAGTTTCAGTGGAAAAGTCATAGGCATGTAAAAGAAACAAAACCTGGAATATACAAAATGTTCTTCCTGGCCTGTGAAAGAAGTGTTAGCCTTTCTCGGTGTACTCTTCCCTCTCAGACCTAGAAACTTATTTCTCAAAGCAAACCTTCAAGAAGGTAATGCCCAGAGGGAGGGGAATCTACTCACATTCAATTAAACCCAAGCAGTTTCGCTGGAGGGTCGATGTCTGCTCTCAGTCCTTGATAAGAAGATAGTGGGAGATTTGCTCCATTATCCAGTCTACTTAATTTCCACTGACAACACCTAATTTTAAGCTCTCACCATCTTGGACTGGGGGGACTTCTTTTTTTTTTTTTTTTTTTTTGGGGGGGGGGGGGTCCGGTCGTGGGGCCTGAACTCTGGGCCTGGGCGCTGTCCCTCAGCTCTTCAGCTCAAGGCTAGCGCTCTACCACTTGAGCCACAGTGCCACTTCCGGCTTTTTCGTTTTTTTGCTTATGTGGTGCTGAGGAATCGAACCCAGGGCCTCAGGCATGCAAGGCAAGCGCTCTACCACTGAGCCACCTTCCCAGCCCCTGGGGGGACTTCTTAATTGGCATCTGATTCCAGCCTCAACTTTCTTTGTACCACCCTCCACCAATGTCTAAAGGAACAATGACAAAGAAACTGTTATTATGCCATTTGCCCAATATATGCCCTCTATTTATTTTTTGGGGGGGGTCCAGTTGTGGGGCCTGAACTCTGGGCCTAGGTACTGTCCGTCAGCTCTTCAGCTCAAGGCTAGCGCTCTACCACTTGAGCCAGAGCGCCACTTCCAGCTTTTTTTTTTTTTGTTTATGTGGTGCTGAGGAATCGAACCCAGGGCCTCATGCATGCAAGGCAAGTGCTCTACCACTGAGCCACCTTCCCAGCCCTATGCCCTGTATTTAATATGACCTAAATGTTTTGTTAGGAACTGTGAAGGTCTGAGATTTCACTATTGGTAAACTAACAAAGTACCAATGAAGTATTCATTCCCATGAAGACTCAGAAACAAAGGGCCTTATGATCATGGAACAAGAAGCATATTTCTATATGTTCCCTTTGCTCCCTAACTCCCATATTGGTGGCACAAGGGGCTCAGGTGGACTTTGTACATGCAGGGGCATTACTTATCATCATGCGGCAGCGGGGGGGGGGGGGGGGGGGGGGGGAATAACTTCATCATCACCGCTAGGAACTCCAAGCTTAGGGAACCCAACTCTCATTTTTCAGACAGGGTCTCATGACATTGCTCACTCAGCTGCTCACTCATCTAAGTGTTGGGACTACAGGTATAAGGCACCATGCCTTGATTAGAACTCAAATATTTTGTAATTATGTAAAAGGCATGTCCAACTTTCATCTGAAAAGACACACTACCTTCACTACATGGAACAGTGAGCAAATCTGTCTTCCATAGCTAGTTGTTTTATGAAGAAAGTTCACAACAAAGACAGCTAGTGGGCCAGGAGTTGGTGTCTCATGCCTATAATCTTAGCTACACAAAAGGCTGAGATCTGAGGACTGCGGTTCAAAGCCAGCCAGGACAGGAAAGCCTTTGAGACTCTTATCTCCAATCAACCACAAGAAAACCCTAAGTGTAGCAGTAGCTGCAAAGTGGTAGCACAAAAAAGCTCAGAGGCAGCTCTCAGGCCCGAGTTCAAGCCCCATGGCCAAAAAACAAAACAAAACAAACAAACAAAAACAGCCGTTCTTGCCTACAACATACGCAGAAATGTGAATAACTCATGGGGAACCACCAGTCAGCCACACTCCAGTGCTCACAACATCCTACAAGGTGAGAGCCATTTAACCATTATTTCATAAATAAGGAAAGTGAGGCTCAGAAAACTTCAGTGACCTGCCTAAGGACACATGTCTTTGAGACAGAATTCAACTCTAGCTTTCATTTCAAGGCTGTTACTATTTTTTCCCTATCATTAAATGTTTCTTATGTCTGATCATATCCTGCCTGCTCAAAGACCTTCACTCCCCTTTTCTGCCAGAAAACAGATAAGAAACTCAATGTCCCAAACACTGAGTCCTTCCATCATCTAGTCCCTGCCTTCTCTTTCTATGTCCCCAAATTTTCTCTTGCATTTTTTTTTTTTTTTTTTTTTTGGTCAGTCATGGGGCTTGAACTCTGGACTTGGGCCCTGTCCATGAGCTCTTCAGCTCAAGGCAAGTGCTCTACCACTTGAGCCACAGTGCCATTTCTGGTTTTCTGGTGGTTAATTAGAGAGTCTTGCAGACTGTCTGGGCTAGCTTTGAACCATGATCCTCAGATCTCAGTCTTCTGAGTAGCTAGGATTACAGGCATGAGCCACTGGCGCCCAGCTTCTCCCTTGCATTTTTTTTTTTTTTTGGTCATGGGGCCTGAACTCTGGGCCTGGGCACTGTCCCTCAGTTCTTCAGCTCAAGGATAGCGCCCTACCACCTGAGCCATAGCTTATGTGGTGCTAAGGAATTGAACCCAGGGCTTCATGAATGTGAGGCGAGCACTCTATCACTGAGCACCTTCCTAGCCCTCTCCCTTGAATTTCTGAAGCTGTTTATAATACCACCTACTCCACTGCTTCCAACTGCTGTGTTGTGTGCACAATACTCCCCTGGTCAGTCTGTTTAGATAGACTGAGTGCCCTCTGAAGGAGAGCGATGAATTGTATTTACCTCCTCGACTCTTAGGAGGACCTCATGTATTGATCAAACCAATGAGATAAAAGAATAAACAAACTTTACTGGATCTCATTACCAGCCAGTACTTTTAAGTGTATGGCAGTGTGCTGAAGCTATCAGGGATACTGAAGAGTTAAGACAAGTGTCTCCTTTCAAACAGCAATAATCAGGATTATGAGAAAAGCTGTCCTAACAGAGGGTACATATTATAGAAATGTATAGTGAGTTTTAAGATCTAAGAACTTGAGAGTGGAGTGTTATGGAAGGATTAGGAGGTAAATATGGCAAGAGTTCAGAAGGAGGAGGCAGAACATAAAGCAATTTCAGTAGACTGGAAATAACCTTATAAGAAGAAGAGAAGAAAAATTGAAGTGGTTGGCTAAGACAAATTGTAATAAGCTTTGACTTCTAAACAAGTATAATTGTTATGAATGTGAAGCCAGGAAGTTTCTGACAAAGGCAGTACCAGGCAAAAAAAAAAACTATTTTAAGACTGGTATACCTAGAGGCATGTGATGGTTGAACCCAAACAAGTAGAACAAACCAAGTGTTAACGAACTAATCTAGGCACAAAATTAACATCGTTTAAGAGACAGCAGAGACATGACAAAATCTGTACACTATAACTGAAAAACAATTCAGCAAAGATTCTTAAGTCTGCTGCAGATGGCAGAGGGGAAGTGTAGAGGACAAGGAAGGGAAAACAACTATAAGACAAGCCACTCCACCAGTCTGGTCCCTAAACAACACAAACATTTATGGTATGCTAGATTTGAGCACACTTTTCTTACAAAATCTGTAAAGAAAAAAGCAACCTGCTTATTTGATTAAACATGTTCCAATATTTCAAAGATAAAAGATCCTATATTCTGGAGTTGTGTAATCCGACTAGTGTATAGGTAAGTTAACAACTCTAATCAAAAATACAACAAGTGCCAGGCACATACTCATGCCTGTAACCCTAGCTACTCAAGAGGCTGAGATATGCAGATTGTGATTTGAAGCCAACCCAAACAGAAAAGTCTATGAGACTCATACCTCCACTTAACCAGCAAAGAGCCGGTAATGCAGCTGTGACTCAGGTGGTAGCATGCTAGCCTTGCACAAAAAAAGCTAAGGAATAGCACCCAGGCCAAGTTCAAGCCCCGGTATTGGCACAAAAAAAAAAAAAGAGGAAAATGCAACTTGTTTTTGGATTACTAAGCCTTCCTCAACCCACATATGAATGAATATTTGTGCATTAGTGGAACTACTCTTTAAAAGAGAGTTGTTATCTCTCAGTGTCCCACTGGTGATAGCTTTATTTTCCATAAACGAAACACTGCTGGTCACATCCCGGATGTGACCTCCCACTTTCCCTCTTTGCTAGACGTGACATAGAGGTCCGTCCTATGAATAAATCTTGGACTCTGACAGAAAAATAGTTTCCACCCATGAAATGAAAAATACAATTTGCAGTCCTATCTGCTGCTGGGAGAACAGTCTTTTGTAGTAGTAGTTTATTTGACTCATGGGTCAAAGGTTAGGAAGTCTAAAAGCATGGCATGCTGCCCTTGCTTGGCACTGCTGCGGGTCTCTAACATAGGGGAGGGAAGACTGAGCAAGTGAGCAAGCTTGTATCTCTCTCCTTCCTCTCAGAAAGTCACTAGTGCCATCACAGGCCCCCACTCCCAACAGACTTCATTCAATCTAGTCTTGATTGCGTTGTAAGCCCCCTCCCCTTCTAAATACCACTTCAACATTTGAACTTGAAGATTAAGTTTCCAACACCAGAACTTTGGATGACAACACTGACTATCTAACATACAACACTGCTAAAGTAGAAGACAGTATTTGAATGATCCTCAATGTGCTAACAAGGCCACAGTCTCACAATAACTTGTCTATATTAGCACTGAAATACCTCACCAGCACCCTGGCACTTACCTTATATGGCCTCACTTTCCTCCTATGTGGGAGGTTTATTATCTCCACTTCATAGACAAGAATCAGGACAGCCAGTGCATGGTTAATAAGCACCCACTACATAATATAGCATGTACTTAAAAACTGCTTTTGCTAAAAAGTACTGACTTCGCACTTGAGCCCACAACTTAATGAAAAGTTGGAGAAAAGTTCAGCGAACCTGCCTCTCTCTTGCATGTCTCTTCAGCTCCTAGCCATTCTCTCCTGTACTTAACCACGTTTTCCTTAACAGCAGAACTGAGGGATGAACACTTGATGTCCAAAGTGCAATCTACTCCTCAGGTAACAACGACATGCTTACTCAGACCAATTCTCAGATAATGACCAGCCAAATCATCATACCTTTGATCAAGAAATTTTGCTTACATCTAGCCCACTGTCCTTTGTTTGAATCTGAAACTCAAGTCAGAACCTGGAAGATAAGCTTGAAATGCCTCTTCCCAGGCTAGACTGTATTGAATCTCCTCTGCACTTTACCACATGCTTCTCTGTTGTTGTTGTTGTTGTTATTGTTGTTTTTTGTTCTTGTTTTTTGGTGCCTATTCTGGCACTTAAACTCAGAGTCTGAGTGCTGCTGTCCCTGAGCTTTTGCTCAAGCTAGCTTTCTTACCACTTGAGCCACAGCTCCAATTCTTTTTCAGTTGGCTAGTGGAAATAAAAGTCTTATAGACTTTCCTGCCCAGGACAGATCTGAACTGCAAACCTCAGATCTCAGCCACCTGAGTAGCTAGGATTACAGGTGTGAGCTACCAGTGCCCAGGCACCTGGAGCTTTTTTCCTTAAGGCTAGCACTCCATCATTTGAGCTTCAACTCCCCTTCCAGCATTTTGGTGGTTAGTTGGAGATAAGTGTCTCATAGACTTTCCTCCCCAGGGTGACTTCAACTGCAATCCTCAGATTTCAGCCTCCTGTTTAGCTAAGATTATAGATGTGAGTCACTGATGCTGGGCCCACATGATTCTCTTTAATTGGGACAGGGGGATAAGCCTAGACCTGTTGGGACTCCTGGAGCCCCAAGCTTTTCACCTAAAACTGTTTACCCAGCACTCAGCAAATTACTAATTCTGCTAGGCCCCTCCTCTTACTTGAATCATCTGTACACCAGTCTCACTTTTCTGTACTCTCAGGTTAAAGGCTCAAAGGTTTGAAATTCCCTTCTTCCTCAAAAAACCTATACATTGTGAGCTCCCATTAAAACACTGCTGAGTTACACACAAGCTTAATCAAGAAAAGTATAATCAACTCAGAAAGATGTATAAATACATATCAAAAAATCAGAAATACCAAGAAAATAAGCTTCATCTAAGAGATGCTTAGTTCTTTTTTCCTAAAGAATCTGAGTCAAGAAAAGACTCTGCAGTGGGCGTCAGTGGCTCACACTTGTAATCCTAGCTACTCAGGAGGCTGAGATCTAAGGATCTCGGTTCAAAGCCAGCTTGGGCAGCAAAGTCTGTAGACTCTTATCTCCAATAAACCACTAGAAAACCAGAAGTGGCGCTGTGGCTCAAGTGGTAGAGTACTTGCCTTGAGCTGAAGAGCACAGGGACAGCACCCAAGCCCAGAGTTCAAGCCCCATGACCGACAAAAGAAAAAAGAAGAAAAAAGAAAAGACCTTGCAAATTACTTAATAGATTTCACAAATTTGGGGAATGGAAAAGCATAGGTCATCAATCACAAGAACAACACAGCAGTAAAGCCTATGAGAAATAATGACACTCAAACATTCCTACCGACACAGTGGTGTCAGTCCCCTCTGGCTGGAAGCTCCAGGAAACAGTGGTTAAGCGGCTAGTCACATTGGTGGACTTGAATGTGCATGTGAGCTTCCCTTGTGTCCCATTTGCCACATAGATTTCTTTTGGTGTATATACTTCCAACGCTGACACTCTGGCTGTCACTGTAGAAAGAACAAGGACAATTTAAATGTTGAATTTAGCATGAATACTACTGTACATTATTTATCAGTGAAAAAGATAAAAGTTACAAGATATACACAGCAATCTGCTGTATTATTATACTCCATTCCTCACAGGATACTTTATGGTTCAGGGCTTCCTACAGAGTAACTGTTGATGGTCTGCTGTTTTTATTTGGGGATATACCTAATATATTTGTTTAATGAATAGACATTTATAAAAGCAGTTTTAGGTATGCAGAAACAAATGGAACGTGAAGAGTTCTCATGAATTTGCCTTTCCCCTTTCATTATTATTAATGTGTGTGCCACATTTGTATCAACTGATAAGCTAAGATTGTTACATTATTGTTAGGTTTGCAGGGTTCACTCTTTGCCTTATACATCCTTTGGATATGGATATAAGAAGTGATAACCACCCTTACAATATACCATACAAAATACTTACTTCACTGTCTTAAAAAGAATCCCTTTTGTGCTACAGGTTTCCTCTCCCAAAGCTCCTGGAAACCACTGACCTTGTTTTGTTTTCCCTTTGGTTGTACTGAGGATTGAAATCAAGGCCTCACCTCTTGAGCCATGCACTAGTCCTTTCTCTTTTAGTTTGTTTTTCAGGCTCTCACTTTTGTCAGGCCAGCGATACCAGTGAGAGAGTCTCACTAACGTTTACCCAACCTAGCCTTAAACCTCTACCTTATCTACATCTACTAAGTAGCTGGGATCATACATACCATGATGTCTAGTGCATCCACTGACTTTTTACTGTTACTACAATTTTGTATTCCCAGAACACTATAGAGGTAGAATCTTATAGCATATAGCCTCTTCTTTCTCTTCTTTTCTTTTCTTCTTTTTTCAAACTTCTCTTTTCTTTCCTTCCTTCCTTCCTTCAGTCCTTCCTTCTTTCCTTCCTTCCTGCCAGTATCATGGCTCTGGCTCAGCTATCTTGATCCCATAAGCACTCTATCACTGGAGTTATGACTCCAGCCTTGCTTTTTTAAGTAGTGATAAGGTCATACAGACTTTTCTGCTTTGAACTATTATATTTCAGGTCTCAGCCTCCTGAAAAAGCTAGGATTACAGGTGTGAGCCACAAGCTTAGCTATTTTTACTTCTTTAAACAGAATTCATTTGCTATACTGCAATTGTTATCACATTAAACTTTATCTCACCTTTTATATTTAAAACAATTAAACTATTCTTATCTACCACTTCATATCAGACCATGTCTATTATTTAATTGACCCTTTTCCTATAAAGAATTTAAAGTAGGAAAGTAATACTGTGATAGTGCCATGGTTTGAACTCAAGGACTCACACACTCTACACAAACACTCTACTTCTGAGACCATACCTCTAGCCCCAAACCAGATTATCATTAAAGAAATAGTCTGGAATAATTATAGTGTTCCAGTTATTCTAGAATGTAACAGATGGGCAAAATAAGCAGGGTATTATCACTTGAGATGGAAGGTCAAAGACTTAACTGTGACTAGACCAAGGGGAACCAGAGCCCTCCCCTCCTCCTCCCAACCACCTTCCAAATGTTTATTCTTAGGACACAAGGAGCACTTTGGCCATTCTTTTAAATAAACTGATAGCCATACTGCATCAAGCAGATTTTTTTCTGCTAAAAGAGGGAGGATTATTATTATAGGGAACAATAGATTATTATTTGTGGTCCAAATCTCAAAACAAGACTTTCTTTGAGACTGGAAGCAAACAAAAGGCTTCCTTGCTATTGTGGGTAGGCAGAAAAGCAGCCCCAGGCACTGGAGTTCAGAGCGAAGGACAAAGCACAGGGCAGACCAGTTAACCAGCTTATTCCAGGAAGCAGCTCTGGTCTGCAAGTCTGACTCCATCTGGGTGGTTTTTGACTACTTTTCTCCATGGTGCTGACACAGCAAGCAAAGCCAACCTTGAAAGCCCACAAATAAAGTTTCTCAAGGATTTTTCTTAAACCAGATCCTTGCCTCAAGGCCTGGGTGCAGAAATGCTATTTAAAGATGGAACTAGGCCAAATGTCCAAGTTTAAAGTCAAGAATAGGAGCAAAAGGCTAACTCTTTAAGTGGCTTTTATGCAATCTGTATGCCAAAGCTGGCTAATAATAAGTGGTTTTTATTTCAAGCATTCCATTAGTCTTTGGCTAATTTAATGTGTAGCTCTTAGAGCCTGGATATGAATTCCAACTGCTCATAACTGTAACCTGCCCTCAGGCGGAAGCCAGTCCTAGGTGGGAGCCCTGCTCTAAGGCTCTACCATCAGTATCTGCATCCTCACCACAGCCTCCATGTCAGGTTGCTTGGCTGGCTCTCTACCTCCAAAGCTGTTAACAAAACATCTTGTCTTTACTTAGAAACATATCTAGAGATTGATCTCTCCCTAACTCTTTGGTGCAAGCCACTGCCACCTTTGCCTTGCATTGCATTCTAAACACTCTCTCTGCTTCCCAGCCTTATACATGTTAACTTCAAGTAGTTTATAGCAAGGTCAGAAAGGTTCTTAACATGTTCTCAATGTGTGGTTCACATGAGCAATCCAAGTTACCCAAGAAGTGAAATCTGAGGATTGTAGTTTGAAGCCAGTTGGGGCAGAAAAGTCTATGAGACTCCAGAAGTGGTAGAGTGTCAGCCTTGATGTTGAAAAAAAGCCAAGTGAGAATATGAGACCCTGAGTTCAAAACCCAGTACTAACAACAACAACAAGCCATGTTAGAACTACCACATCAGTCCAGATCAGGCTAGTCCTCTGGTTCTTTGAGCTAGCTCTAGCTACCTTTCAGACCTCATATACTACCCTTCCCTTCCCTCCCCGCCAAACATATAATAACCCATTTGGTCACCTAGTGCCACTGCTGATGAAGTGATGGGTGTGGCTAAGAATAGCGAATGCTATGTACAATAAGACTGGAAGTGTCCCAAGAAATCATGATGTCATGAAAGACAAGGGAAGAATGGTCAATGTGTCAACTATGCTGTGTATCTCATCTAGGGAAAAGTTTTGATGGACACCCTTGTTCAGAACTGCTCATTTCCCATGTATTTATCAACATCTAGAATACAAAGTCCTTCTACCCAGCCTACTCCAAGTTTCTGACCAACTGTAACAAGCATGAACAGTATCTTCTAAGAAACATCCTCCTGTGAGTAAGGAGAGAAACTAAAACACAGGTTTCCCTTACTACATTCCAGGCAGCCCAAGCAAGTTCACTTTCTTAAGCAACTTGTATCTTAAACAACTCAGAATGGTTTGTTTTGTCCTGCCTTCCCCTCCTCCCTACCTTTTTAAATGACTAGGAGCATTATGGAAATACATAGTAAATTATTGTGGATTCAGATAGCTCTTCTTCAGTCATACAAGAGAGTTTTTAGGGGCTGGTTAGAATGGCTAAAAATGAAGATGTAAAAGACACTGAGCTATACAGAAAGCATTGTTCCAATCTACATTCCATGTCACTAAAGAATGGAATCCTATTCTCAGTAAGTTATTAAGTTTATTCTTCTCAGGCCTAGGATTTATAATTTTGATACAGTTGTACAATGACTTATGGAATCGATCCCTGAACTCATATATAGAAGAAAAGTATGCCCTGTTGATTTTTGAGATGGTTACCAATCACCTTGGAAATAAACACAAAAATGAAATGAAGTAAAACAATGAAATGACAAGCAAAAGTTTCAAAAATTTTGACAACCTTGGATTCTGAGTAACATATAAACTTAACCTGCAAACTTTAATATGGTAAGGAAGCTGTGAATACTTTCTACCTGGGCAAGGTTCCATAAGGAGGAAAAAAATCTCTGAACACCAGAGTTTAAAGATCAAGATAAACCAACAGAACCAAAACTGTTTTAGGGTGCTCTGGAGAACAGTTTCTAAAATGTACTTTGCTACCCAACAGTATCTCTTAGCTGTGAAGTGACTGGCACTTCTGAATGCCAATAGATTGATTAAAATGAAAGACAACCACAAAATCACTTGATAAGGAATCAAAGTCTGTGTAATCGAGGTCATTTCTACAATAAAATGAGACACAGAAGTTGTCTTTTTTCTTCTCTTTATCACTACCTTCAAATAGTTGCATGAGTTTTCAACTTAGCATGTCTATTTATATGTATATCTTGATTGGTGTTACCCCTTCCATCATTCCCCCTTCTCTATTTCATCTCCCAGAAGTTGATATTCTTTAAAGTTTAGATAGACACATAGAATGTTTCAGAAAAGAGGAATTTTTTAAAATACAGAATAAAAAACAAAATCCATAACAAAAAAGGAAAATGCAAATTCAAATGCCAGCCAGGAAGTAGTGGCTCATGCTTATAAACCTAGCTACTCAGGAGGCTGAGGTCTGAGGATCGAAGTTCAAAGCCAGCCCAGGCAAGAAAGTCCGTGAGACTCTTATCTCCAATTAACCACCAGAAAACCGGAAGTTGGGATATAGCTCAAGTGGTAAAGCACTAACCTTGTGCTGAAGAGCTGAGGGACAGCACCCAGGCCCAGATTTCAAGCCCCACAACCGACAATAATAATAATAATGATAATGATAAAGCATATAAAATAATTTAATGAAATAAGTTATGAAATTACTCTTTCCAAGTACATACAAAGATGATCTTATTTCAAGTAAATTCAAAGTCATATTAGACCACTGAAAACACTGCAGTAGTGTCACCATGAACAGACACAATCCCAAACCAGGCAGAGATTTTGAAACTATTATTAAATGAAGCGATTCTAAGTCCTGTCGCTGCTGGATTCATTTGTAGCAGATGTTTGTAGAAAACCTTATCTTTCAGAGAAATCCCATTAAGATTTGAAATTAAAAGAGGCTTTTGTTTCTTTTTTGTTGTTGTTGTTTCTGAAATACTTTGAAGTTGTTGGTATATTCATTCTTCTGCTTAAAAGAGTACAATCAAGCCATTTATTTATAAACAGCTCTTTGGCCTATCCCTTGTTCTCTGTTGATACACAGTGATGGTTT